GATAGCTCGGTGGCAGTACATATCAATTATTGACTTTCACATAATCTATTTGTTGCATACTTTGATATTCAGATGTATGATTCTCGAATGATGATTACTTATTACATGATTTACATCCTTCGTGATCATTGACTTCCATGGATTACATTTGTGAAGCTTTAATAGTTAGTAGTTCTCGTTTACTCACTAAGCATTATGTGCTTACCCTTTTAGTTGTTCACATTTTTACAGGCAGTGTAGATAAGGCAAAGAACAAGCTCGAGTAGCTTGAGATCTTTGCTTTTGGTGCTTCTAGTAGCACGACTCTTTTGGTATTATATAGTTAGTCGAATAMAACTATGGATTGTAAATTATTAGTTGTCTTTTGGTTGTAATTAAAGTATCTAGATAACGGGTAGCTAATGTCCTCTGTCTTGTATATAGTTTAAGTTTTATGCAAATCTATTAAGTTTATTTTGTCTGTTTTAGGATATTTTGGAAAACAGGTGCTTACGGAAACGTCCTGTAAACCAAGCGGACATTTTGAATTAGAAACTCGTAAATATTATATCCCGTTTGCTTTCTAAAGGTTTAAAAATGTAACTTTTGGTGGTTTGTTTATCATTTATAGAAATGAGGTATTACAAACCTTTTATCATTTATGTAAACCGGGTCTTTCAGAATGACTCCAGCGAGCCCCTCAAGTCGCTGTCAAAGATTAGAAGAACCGTATGTCAGCGGTCTGGCAATATTTGTTCTCTCACTTCATCCCGAATATGGGTGGAAAGACTGGTGGCCAGGATCCGGCTTCCAGAATCTCCCTCACCATTGGCGTCTCAGTGATCCAACGCTGCCCAATCAGCTTAAATCAGATTTATTACTGGATCAAATGCGATGAAATCAGATAAAAAGAAATCAAAAACAATTAAGCACAAAAACAAATCAAAAAAACACAAAAAAAGGAGATGAGATATCAGAAAAACAGCAAAAAAAACTGTCAAAAATCAGTAGTTCAAAAAATAAAACAAAACAGATAAGAAATGGTAAAATTCTCAAAATTTAACAAATCTGGATGAAATGTTGTAAAATTGACTAAGTCTTTTAACTAAAATCCAAATTAGGACACGAGAAAAACAAATCACTGGTGCCTTTAGCCGAGGAAAGAAGATTGCTGGCCGAAGAATGGTTAAATCGGATACGGCTGTGTCCGAGGGTAAAATGCAAGTTGCGACCAAGTTACCGAAGGTGATACCCGGACAAGGCAAATGAATGATTTACCTAAATCCGGTCA